CATGCTGAATCCAAACTTTAAACTGTAAACTCAAAATAAAGCCTACTCTAGGATTTAAATTATACTTTTTATGTTTACTGAGTTATGTTTGTTTCATTTTTTTTTAATTAGTCTCTATTTTTACATGAATGTTTATAGAAATTTGGAACTTGACCGAAACATGCAATACCATGCTCAGCCTATTTCAACTATTTTGCTTCCAAAAATACAAGTCTGATAGACACCAATCAGATGAGACTTTACATAAACTCATTATTCAGTGTATGACATAGTTTGTCTTCTGAAATCCACAATAATCTCCTTTGTCTTCTTCACATTGATGTGGATGTTGTTCTTCCTGCACCAGCTCTGCAGGTGTTCCACCTCCTGCCTGTAGTAGGACTCATCATTGTTTGAGATGCATACAACCACCGCCGTGTCATCTGCAAACTTTACAATATGACAGCCTGGATGGATAAGTGTGCAGTCATATGGGAGCAGAGTGAACAGGAGAGGGCTCTAAAGCTCGGTTAGGTTCTTCTCTAGTCTGTGGAATCACTGGTGCCTTAATTTATACAGCAATGTATGAACATTCTATTTTTATTGTGTCTTGTTGCATTTTTTTTTTTTGTTTACTTTGGATCGTGTGTGTCTAAAATGAAGTTTTGATTGATTTATTTAGACTAAAATTACTATTCAATTATCCAACAATGTTCAGTCAGGTCATCTGGACAGTTTCTTTCTTTCTTTTTTTTTTTTTTTTTTGTTGAGAGATGTTTCATCCTTCATTCGAAGGACTTCTTTGGTCTGTGGAGATAAAAAATAAACTGTTTCCCCATAAGCTGTACACTCTGATAGTAGACCAAACAGTTTGTTAGTGATAAGATGGTTTCTGGGGGCCGTCCTCTCCCCCGTCGACTCCTCCCAGGCAGCCAACAGCCAAAGTGGTTCAAGACATCAAGGTTCATGATCAGTAATCCAGGTGAAAAAACACCAGCAAACTGGTTGGTCTACTATCAAAGTGTACTGCTTGTGAGGAAACAGTTTGTTTTTGTCTCCTCAGACGGAAGAAGTCCTTCGGATGAAGGACATAACGTCTCTCATCAAAAAAATAAACTTTCCAGATGACCTGATTGAACATTGCTGGATAATTTTTTTTACCTGGATCACTGAGCATGAAGCTTGATAATATTCAAGCTGTCTATCAATTGTTTTGTTCTCCACAGCTGCTTTCTGAATGTTATATCTGTCATGATGTTTTCTTCCATTTATTTTCCAATGGGTCTTTTGGCACTGTGTGGTTGGTGGTTAGTCAAAAACACATTACAGAGAATGTGTCCACTCCTGCATTGAATAAAACCAGTAATTCTAACTGCAATAGTTTACTCACGGCTTTTTTCCCCTTTAGATCAAAAGCTAACAGTTTTAGCATGCCTTTTAAAAATGCATTGAGGGTACATATAAAATAAATGTGTAATCTAATATCCATCTGAGATATATAGATATATATTTATATATAGCTGATGGAACTTTTATGAAGAACACATTGAGGGGATAATGTGGGGTTCCGTTTATTACCAGTGGATGCTTTGACATGTTGGCAAGTGAAAAACTGATCAACTGATCAATTTTTAATTGCTTACCATTTGAGCTGCAAGGTGTAATGATGCTGGAGACTAGATACAAAGTACTTAAGCACTCAATCTTTTTTTGTCTAATTCCAGAACTAAAAGCTCAACATAGCAGGTTTTTTTTTTTCTAATCAATATATGTGATTTGACTGTCACTCACAATGGTGGCATTAAACATTCTTTTTCAGAACAAACACGTAAAAAGTAATACAGTTCAAGTCTTTTTTGGAGAAACCCTAACTTAGTTATACAGAAACGAGATGCTGCTATTTTTGTAGAAGCCTGCAGTATTGTTGTAGTCAGGCAGTATTTTTACACAAATGAACACAAACATTTTGATGACACTGAAGCAGTTTCCAAATAAAACATGGTTTCCTTCTTCACCAGTAGCACCACGCATGATGATCACTGCATCCAGAAAGATATTGACCGAGTGATATTGACAGGAACAAGAGTGAAATACGCTCAATAAATATTTATCTGCAATTCTGTTTCACTTTCACCTGTTTATTTGCTATTAGTTTCAGGCTTTATCAATTTTTTATATATACAATGTTAATTTCCTCCTCATTTGAATTCTCAAAATGATACGCAGGTGAAGATTTTCAGTCATCCAGGACACGGCAAATTCAAAAAAGTTATTTTTGTAATTCTCTACTCGTGCACAATGCCAGTTTGTGTTTTATTTTTTGCTTCTACTTAACAGTTCTGAGCTGCTGCAGCACAGTGCAGCTGCTATTGATGTTCTGCTTTCAGTCAAGACTACGGGAATAATCCCTTCTAAGCCCTGGAGCATCTGATTCTTCAGCCTGCATGCATGTGGAACAGTTTTTTTTTTTTTTTTGTACTAAATGTTTGCTAATACACAATATAAAGGTGTTTTTGCTCTTTACCTTGGACCTAAAACATTTTTTGTCAAAGGACATGAAACATGGAACACAAAGCAACGAACAGTCAGACATGAGGCATCTCTTCTGGGTAAGTCCAAGGCCCCTGGTGATGGTTTTTACAGAGGCTGTCAAATGTAAAAGCGAAGCATCACAAAGTGAGCTTATATCAAATAACATGAAGAGAGAAATAGGTCAAATAAAATAAAACCAATACTGAAAGGAATGATTCACTTTATATGTTAAATGTGGGATAGAAAAATGCATTCATAAAGGTTTTCTTCAGGATATGGTCAATTTTTCACCTAAGGAACAAGACCATGGCAGAAAGTTTTATTACATAGCCAACATCTGTCAGGTCTGAGGCCCATTATTTACTGTA